GCAAGTTTATGGGAATATTCCAGTCACCAATATACACCAAATGGAGCAGGTTATTGCCTGTTTGGTGATAAAAAAAAAATGCTATGGAATAGTATTCAAGCACTCTGACACATTCACCTTCAGCTAAAGACAGCACACTACACTGACAGACACAGTCCTAATGACATCAGGACCTGTGGAATGTATGACTGCTAGGAAACACATGCTGCTAGGAAACAAAGAACAGATCTGATCAACTCTTCTAACGTAAGGACTGGGAATCATTGTGATTAGCTCTTCTAAACTGAGAGATGTATTCTTCCATCTCTCAAAAATACTTGTAAATGTAAAAATTTTAACACATAGTCACTGGGCAAGAAACAATTACATGAAGCTACAATTTCATGAATTAAGTCACCATTAAGATGATCACCATGTATAATCTGACATGAAAATATAATTTTATCACAACAGCATCTAACCTCTTTTTAAGAAGTCAAGATCTTTTAAAAAGAAATCTATAAATGATAGTACCTAGGAAGTATCCTTTTACATTCAAAATTCAACATAGCCATTTTCAGAAAACTGCAAAGCAGTCAGAGCTTATCTTTAACTAACGGGCTTTATATAGTTTAATTTTGAAACTAAAAAACATTTTCCATTTTTAACTTTTTGAAACTGTATAACAGTGCATTTTCCCCTTTCTTTAATTGCTGCATGAGCCAGAGCAGAAAGCTTTTTCAACACAAATATCCTTTTAGCTCCTATACAAACTATCTGAAATTTTTTTTTCTGTGACACTGGAAAAGAATTGACAAATCTATGTGCAATTCTCATATGGACAAACTGGGCAACAAAGCTCCAGATCATTTAGTGCCCCATACACACTGGAAGAATGTGTGTGTGTGCGTGTGTGTGTGTGCCAGGAAATTAGCTAACCTCTTTAATCTCACAGGGAAATAACATCCTACAAATGAGAAATTACTAAAGAATTGCTTCTTTTTAGATTCTGTAATGGCATTATTTTAACTAGTGTTGATAATCCACATGCCACTAAAATTAGCAGACAGCCTATTTACTTCAGAGAAAAACACAGAAGGCAATTTTCTTCTTCCTTTCAGACTCTATGCTCTCCTCAGTTCCCCCACAGCTGGCAGAAAGGATGTAAAATCTGAGGTGCAAGAAGGCTTACACTTCCTAATGAGTAAGTCACCCAGAAAAGTAAACACAACCGACACTATAGAAGGCTCCTTACATCGTTGTTTACAAGGTGCTCTGCAGGCAGGGATCACAGGAAAGCTCCGGGAGAAGACACCCAGAGGTGGTTCTCATTGCCTTGAGTTCACCCAATTGCTATGTTATCTCTGACCATAAATAAGGCAGTGCACGTTACCATCGGCGCGAGGGAAGTGACCAAAAAATTTCCAGGGACTGAGTTTACGCTGGCTTAACTCGGTTATTTCAATCTAGCAAAGAGATGACTGCTCTATCTCTTGGCCCTAATCAGAGTCAATCTGGGGTACGTTGAGCGCCGCACCATACTCTCTCGCTCTGCACGCATCTCGCACAGCAGCTGCACACTGGGGGAGAGGGGACACGCTGAGGTTTCCCTGCGGCCCCTATGGGGCCCCCACGGTCTCGTCAAACCAGATTTTCCAGTTACACGGATCCCATGGGATTTCGATGAGCAAGCTCATCTCAAGTAGCATCAGCCCTACCATCCCGGCAAATTATCTCCCCTGGCCATCCCCGTGCGCACCAGCGCGCACACACAGACACACACACTCTGACCCCGTCGCCAACTAACCCTGGCAGCAGAGGTCGCCCCCCGCCCCGCCCCTTAACACACACACAAACAAACACACCTATACAGCTTAAGGGGTGGGAGAGTGAGGCGTGCTCAGCCTCGGGGCTCGGACAGGGGACCCAAGGCAGGAGTGCCGCAGCAGTGACTCTCAGCTGCAGCCTGAAACCTTCCCTTATCCAGTGATCGCTCGGGGGCGTCAGCCTTTCTACCTGTAACCTAGCTGACCACCGACGCCAGTATTTTGCCTACCCCGCCCCGGCGCTGGGGCCGCCCGGATTCGTGCAAAGCAGCCTCCCGCCCCGCGCCCACTCCCAACACCGTGTCGCCCCGGGCCACCCACGAAAAGTGGCAGCTTTCTCCAGCCAACACCACCTAACAAAGCCTGGGCAAGCAGACCTAAACCGAACTGCCGAGAAGGGTGCCGAGAGGCAACGTGGTTCGGTGACTCAGGGGCGCGACCTGGGCAAATGCGGCCACCGTGGATACCTCAGGCAGACGTCGAGGGAGGATCACGGCCGGTTCCCCGCCCCGCAGTCCCCACCATCCCTGAGTCCCGCTCCTCACCCAGTCCCAGTCTGTTCTCCAGCCGCTCCCGCCTCCAGCGGCACCCGCTCTGGCTGGTAGGAGAGAAGGCGCCCCCTGGTTTGCTTTCAACCCCTACCAGGGATTGACACCGAGGTGAGAGGAGGGAAAATTCCCGGGTGGACACAGTTCTTATTCCCCAGCGTGTGCGACTGCGAATGCGCCGGGTCGTTTCTCCACTTCATCCCACTCCGCCACCCATTCGCCCAATAACTGGACAATCCTCGAACCCGTGCCAAACCCCAGCGCCCACCAGCCAGGAGGCTCCCTTCCCGCCTCGCATCACGATCGGATGAGTGTGTGTGCGGGCGCGTGTGAGGGCGAGTGTGTGAGTGGGAAGATGAGTGTGCGTGAATCCCGCACCCCCTCGGTCGCCCGCCCCGCGGACGCCGCCGCTCGCGCCGGGTCCCGACCATCACTATTAGGGAGAGTGAGAAGAATAAATTACCTTTCGTGACCGCCGGTCCCTGAGATCGTCCCATCAGTTGCTCAACAACCTGCAGCCGGGTGCAGCTTCCACAATCCAGCCATGGAGCCCGGGGCAAAAGACCTACCGGCCCCAGCGAAGACACCCCCACCACTCGCGGCAACGAAGATGATAACCAAAGCGCAGAGAAGGCAGCAGGAGGGTGGAGACCCCAGCCGAGGAAACAAAAACAAAAAGTCTCTCCGTTCGCCCTTCCTTCTGCTACACAGCCATGGAGACAGGAGAAGGGGGGGAAAGAATCAAATGTGTGTCTTCCTCTCGGTTTCTCGCTTCACACACACCAAGGGGCCAACGACTGAGCGACGAGAAAAAGGGGTTCAAATGTCTCTCCCAGTCCACAGTTGCACAACTTCGGAGTCAGGTTCTGTCTCCCACAGCAGCGGAGGGACCCCAGCGGCAGCTATTAACATGCGGCAGTCATAACTGGGGCTGCTTCTCCTGCTGCTGCTGCTGCCGCTGCCGCTTAAGAAAAGACGCTGCTGGAGAGACCAAAAATCTTCCACCATCCCCCCAGCCGATCTTTATATCCAGTTCTCCCACCCCACCCCCTTCTCTTTCTTTTTCTTCTTCTTCCTCGTCCTCCTCTTTCCGCCTAGGAGCGGGAGCGACGGAATAGGTAGGGGGAGCCGCGAGAGCCAGGGGTGGCAGCTTCTCTGCCAAGCCCTCCTCCTTTTCCTCCTCCTCCTGAGGTTCTCGCCCAGCCGAGGGTCTCCTCTCGCGCCCGCAGCCGACGCCGAGAGCTGGAGCGAGGGCCACGCAAACTCCTTTCCGGGTGCACAGCAGGGGCGAGCGGACCAAGCGGGCGCGGGGCCGCCAAGGGTTGCGTCCCCGGGGCCGCGGAGCCCGGAGCCCGGGGAGTAGCTGATTAGCTCGCCGGCCAGGCCGGGCAGCTGCGGGCATGTGGGAGCTTCATCGCGCGGCCCCGGGCTCCACGCCGCCGCCGACGCCGCCTCTTCAGTTCTTTCTCTTCTTCGACTCCCCGAGAGCGAGCAAGGCTCTGGCGCTCTCCAGACACGCACGCTCACACACGCGCACACACGAGCGAGCTCCTGCCAAAACCAACCGTGCAGCCCGCGCGCGTGCACACCCGGAGGAAGAGGACAGAGGCAAAAAAAAAAAAAAAAAAAGAAGAAGAAGAAGAAGAAAGAAAGGGGAGGGGGCGAATCACTGGCGGCAGCGGCAACAGCGGCGGCAGCTGCCGGAGCTTAGGCAACGAGCAGTCCCGGAAAAGCCAGCAGCGGCAGCGGCGGCGCCCGCCCGGACCAGCGGCAGCATCTGCATCCCGGCTCCTGGGAACTGGGGAGAGCGGTGCGGGGCGAGCAAGCGACCCCGCGGAGCTCCGAGACCCTTTCCGAGCGCGGGCGCGCCGGGCTGTGCAGCCTGCGCGCGGCGGACGCAGCTGGGGCCCAAGCCAAGGCCAGAATGAGCTGCAGGCGGGCGAGCAGGGAGAGCTCTGAGAGCCGGGGAGGGGGCTCGCGCCGGGGAAAGGGGTGGCCGGCAAAACCCGGATCTGGAGTTTGCTGGGCTCCGCCGCACGGGCTCCACCTAGCAGCTCCGCAAACGCTGGAGGTGGGAACGAGAGGATGGCTACAACCAGAGGCATCCCTTTCAGGATTTGTCAAACAAAGGGTACCTCTCCTCGCGGCTTGCAGACATACTCCTTCTCTTTCCACCCTCCCTCCTTTTTCCTCTTTCCCTCCTTCCCTCCCTCCCCCTTTTACTCTCTCTCTCATTTCTCTCCTCCCACCTCCTTCCCTCCCCTCCATCCACTCCACCCAGGTGAGTAAAGGATATCACATTGAAAGTCCAGCCTGTGTCTCTTTATCCATGTGCTTTTCATTCCATATTTTCATCAGACAGGTACTGAATCCCAAAATGTTTCTTGCTTTTGATCCATATTATGTACCTTCAAACTAACCTCAACGTGCAAGTTCACTGCAGACTTTAACTACCCTTTTCTGATTATCTGACCTGGGGATTCAATGATTTTATTTTCCCAACATCAATAGCAACTTCTATAGTGGATATACAACGGTGTCAATTCCAAAGCAATGACTTCTCACAGAGGAAAAGTCTGTTCCAGTTAAGTGATGTTTAGTCAATTATTGAACCTCTTTGTCCCTTCCTTGTCAATGAGAGGGTTAAGTAGGTAATTTCTAAGGTATTTTCCTACTCTAAAATATCTTGATTTGAAATGACTAAGATAATAATCTTTATATCAGTAAATTCAAATTACAATCATGAGAGAAACTAAGGTTTATTATATGCATCCAACACATTCTATCCAACTTGTACTTGAATGAAGGTATTCAGAATGTCCTCCCAGAGCACATAGGGAAGTAACAGCTACCCCAGCACATCTGAAGAAACTAAAATCCCATTAAAATTAACAATATCCCCAATTAAAGCGACTATCAAAATATCAGGCATTCTTCAAAGCTCATTTCCAGTGCCAAGTATTCCAAGAAGCCTTTCTCACCATCCCCACTCAAAACAATCACCCCTTCCACAATACTTCTAGCACCTTGATGGTATCTCAAAATAATAACCATTTCACAATAGTTTTTCTTGTTCTTTTAAATGAGTTAGTTGCTCTTCCATATGCTTTTTTAGATTATCAGCTCTTCTTTGAATGCACATTCCAAATGTTAGACATCTCTGGAAGGTAAGATTGCTCTGTATCCACAGTATTGTGCACATGGTAATTTTTTTTTTTTAATGGGAATGGGAGTAGTAATTATAATGCTGAGTTCTGATAAACTGGCTGTTCAGAAGCTCAACTTAGGCTACTGAATTTGCCTAAAGTAGGACATCCATGGACTCCCTTGGGTTCTTAAAAGCGATCTCTGGAGTCACTTGTTATTTAAATAATTTGGAAAGGGTAGACTTTAGTTAAATGTGGCAAGTGGCTCTTATTTGTAAAGGAGGCAAAATGAAACTACTTCATTGATCTCCCAAATGGATACATGTAGAAAAGTAATAAAATAATGGAATGTAGACTGAGTGGTGCTATGTAGATAATGTTAGTTATAGCTGTAAAAATATCAAAAAAAGTACTTACAGTCCAATTTTTAAAATCAACCTTGTCACAGTGACAGGCCTGCGGAAGAAAGGAAATGAATGAAATTTCAAAATGGAAGTATTTATGAAAATAGAAACGCATTAGTTGAAAACTAAACATATAAACATAAATAAATAATTGAAAGTGTTCACTAAAGATTTGACTATAAGTAAGCAAAACTACCAAGAGAATTGTGATAGAGAAGGAACCAAAAAGGGAGGAAGAGTGAAAATAAAGTTAAAGAAAAACAGGGAATGGAAGAAAATAGATTGTTTATACAATGTAATCAAATGTGAAGCCAGTAATTTTTACAGCAGCTACCTATATTTTAGCCTCAAACTTCGTGCTTTCAAATCATTTTTAATCTGATGGGCAGTCTTCTATATTTGATTTAAGATATAAAGCATCCCATTTGATTGCCAAGAATTCTATGACTCTTGCCAATATTATTCTAAGGCGAGGCTTCCACAAAAATAAAATCAATGTTGTGACCTCTTTGCTACACAACTATATTAACACCTTCTTCTCAGACATGATAGCATCACAGATGATATTTGAGCAAAGATACAGGGAACACTGAGTGCTAGAATAGTCTTTCTTTCTTTTTTTTTTTTTTAAGTGGTAATTTTGGCTTTAATTCCATTAACATTGAAAAAAGAAATCTCTACTGAAGGACAAGACTCTCCCCCAAATTTAAAAGACTGAATATCCAATCAAGATAACCAAAGTTAAAATATTTTAAAAGCTACTGAAATTTCCTGAACAAAAGACTCCTCAAATTTAAAAATAAAACACTAAGATCTCCAACAGCATGTTACTTAGGAAAAGAACATGGACAACCTATTCATACTATAAGTAAAAATGACCTATAATTATACAGAAATATGGTCTGTATATACAAATACAATACATTAAAATTTATATAAAAGCCAACATATATTATACATGAAGATAGCAGAAAATCCTAGCAATCTACTACTAAATGCTAACAAAATTATTTTGAAAAAGGTATACCCCTATGCTAGTGATATACAGTCACAAAATTTTTCTGGAAAGAAAGTTGACAATTTCATTAAAGTGTCATTGAGCCTACATTTCTATTTACAGATACTGCTTTTACAGTAAAAAAAAAAAAGCGGTAAACAATATGGATAAGGGTTTGTACAGTGATGGACATCTCAGTTGTTTTTGTTAAGTATGGGAAAAAGTATATAAGATATGCATATATCAGATGAATCTTTTTTTCCATACTCATTAAAAGCCTTCTCCTGATAACTAGTAATTATTCTGTTAAAGTGGGAAAGGTGATTAAAGCAAAAAAATAACTTTTAAAGTGTGCCACAGTAGTTAGGATTCTTTTGGCTGCAAGCTACAGAAACAAAATAATGGAGACCTAAACAAGATAGAAGTTTAGTTTTGTTATTTGTCTTGTTTTCTTTGTTTCATGAAACTTTAGAGGTTGTTGATCCAGGACGGTTAGAGCCTTCCAGAGCACTCCAAAGTGTAATTGAAACCTTCATCTTTTGCTAGAGATCTATGGCCTTTATTCCTAATTCCACCTCTAGCAATCATGTCTACACTGCAGGCACAAAAGAAAATGAGGAAGAGAAAGGTGTCCTCACAAACTAGAGCATTTTCCTAGAGATGCATATGCCATTTCCCTTTTCCTTTCATCTTTTGAAGTGGCGCCATGGTAACATTTAGCTGCAAGACTAATAGGAATGTGGATTATTCCAGATAGTCATGTGTCCAATTGAAAAATAAGGATTCTTTTATGATTTATCATATGACCTAACATTGTGTGCTGCCTGGGGTTAAGATTTGCATCTATTAGGTTTTTCAGGAAGCAAATGAATGGTTAATGCATATACTAGACAATGCCTTCTTCATATGACAGGACCTACTTCATATGAACTTTTACATATAAACTTTCACATGATATAAACTTTCACAAGATACTGAACTTCTGATATTTTGCCATGATGAAAGATGCTTTCAAGGCCTCAGTTAAGTATAAGTAAGCAATTACTATCTTAAATGAAAATGGGTCTAAATACACAATATAAATTGTGTTAAATAATATCTGCAAAGCAGGTATGAAAACATAGTACTCAGATTCCTTGTATGCCATAGTATTGTCAGAATTTTAAGTGGTCTTGGGTTCAGTAGAATATTGACTCAAGAAGAGATTGTATATACTGTCAAAATATACTTGATTCTCCCATGAACTATATTAATCCTCAATACCCAGTGATGTTCTCTGTACCTTAGAAATCTACATATAAGAACCATTTCAAAAGATTGTAAAATCTTACTGAGATTATAGTGTTTAGCTAATTTGATATCTTTATTATGAATAATTTTTCAGTGCAAAAGAGGATCAGTATATTCTATATTACTAGCCACTTGGAAGTTCTCTCTAGCTCTATATAAGGCTGATCTAGATTTAATTTAAAAAGCAGTTTCTCCTAATTCAGTCAATTTTCTACATCCTGAAATTTTCCTTCTCAGTGGAAGAATCTTTATTAAAGTCTTAATTATAACTTCTACAATGTTTGCTTTCATGCCACATGTATACCAGTTCTGAACTGAGGCCTGTGAAGGAACAACAAAGCCTCTTTATTTTTCCTTCTGTAACTTTCATAGGTATCTTAAATCCCACAATTAGATTACCTTTTATAACACCAAATCAAGTTCAATACTGAATGTTCACAATTACTTTCTACAGATATGATAGAACACTGGCTTTTGTGGAAGTACTCAAACTCATATAAATACAGTTGCCTTAAAAATATCACATCAGAAATCTCCCTGGTTGCATAACGTGTTAAAGCATTTCATTATGAAACTCTCCGAAACCACTACAGCATAAGTTAGACCCCTGGCAAGGGAGCTGACCCACATGGCATAGCAGACCTCTGCTGACCTACCTGCTGTTCCCCTCAGCAGTGTACTTCATCTATCTGCCTGTTCTGCTTCCCACTGTATCTCTGGTGAATCCTCTCACCCTCCGCATCTCTGGCCTGTACCCCAGTTCTGTAAGC